CTTTAGTTTCACCAGGTGGAAACATTGTCCATATAATGTGAATACATGTAGAACTAAGAGGCCCCTGACATTAGGCCTATTTTCAAAATAGTAGGGGCTTTTAACAGCTTGCCAACTTACAGGCATCCTCTGCATAGCAGTATGAATAGCCTTAAAAAAAAAAACCCACTCTGCGGTAACGAGAGTCATATTTCTGAACCAAATGCCCTAAATTAAGCCGTTAGTCCCATCTGACTGACCCAAGAGTTGGTGCTGGTGTGACCGGGAGGCTTCCAGGTGTTCAAAGCAGATGTCAAGCTTTCAGTTCATGGCTTGGTGGGGGGAGTGGCCCACGTGAGACAGTATCAATGGCTGTATTGTTCAGTTTGAGGAAGCATTGTCTCTGGGAGCAGGGAATGGTGTCCATTCTCGGACCAAACCATTAATGTCATTTCATGTAGAGCAGCCATAGCATCTCTGTGACTGCACTCAGCCGGACTGTAGCAGGGCAGAACTGGGTGACTCTTAGTGAAGCCGTCCAAGGCCATAGACAAAATGGAACCACGTACCAACTAAAGGGACACAAGTTCATCAATGTCTCTCTTTACCATTGGCCTAATTGCACAACAAATTAGTGGAAAAAATGTGGAGCACTAATCCATCATCATGTGAAATGTTGAGTTAATCTAAATAATTACTTATGGGTTGAAATCAAATTAACATTAACATTAGAACTAAAGTCAGTCAAAATTGGACTTGCACGGATCAGAATCTAAGCAATACACCATTTTCCCAGCTCTGTAATGAAAAGGATAACAAGATTAGGTACATTACAGGAGTGTTAAAACACCCAAACATGGACACTTATCTTATTCTAGTAGAGATTAGAGGACAAGGTCTAATGTTGTGAACAAATGTATCAAGTCAAAGTTATTTTGTTTATTATATGTTATGTACCTAATTTAATTTAATAATTAATCTTGAATTACTAATAACTTTAAAGAAGGCAACAATTTACAATTTGGATAAAGTGAATACTCATGCAAAGTGTGTGTGTGTGTGTGTGTGTGTGTGTGTGTGTGTGTGTGTGTGTGTGTGTGTGTGTGTGTGTGTGTGTGTGTGTGTGTGTGTGTGTGTGTGTGTGTGTGTGTGTGTGTGTGTGTGTGTGTGTGTGTGTGTGTGTGTGTGTGTGTGTGTGTGTGTGTGTGTGTGTGTGTGTGTGTGTGTGTGTGTGTGTGTGTGTGCTTGTCTGCCCAAGGTTTAAAACATTTGGGACAGCACAGCAGTGAGAATGTTATGAGAACTAATATGTTGTTTACACTAAACTCGAAGGAAGCTAGACTGGAACATTTTTAAATAAATCAAAACACTTGCACATTAATTAAATACATTTGAAATTTAGCTCGAGCTGGGTTCAATACTTATTTAAAATTGGGCTCGAGTAGAACCCCTGGATTTGGCTTGCAACACAAAAGTGATACTGATCTAAAGAGATTGCCCAAGGTTTAAAACATTTATTATGCACACAATAAAAACTTCAACAAATATATATTGATCCTGGCTTAACCAGCGACCTTTACTCTATTGTCCATAAGCTCGGTTTCAGAAAACTTGTCAGTAGTTTAACAACTATTTTAATTTTAGTAATGTCTATGGGGACCAATTGGTTAATACGAGAAATAATTTGAAGCAGTTTAATAAAGAATGTTAAACTATTTTGAAAACTGTAATTGAACTTCAACTTATATTAATTATCTGATTCCAGTGGCCAGTTGGAACAGACAATCAACAAAGTTTCCATTTTGCAACAACAGCGCAAAAGTTTTCAACAACAATTAGTAGTCTGAGTCTAGTTCTGTCTTATCTGATTTGTTTCGGAATGTGTTCAATACATTATGTTTTTATTCATTATTACCATACAATATATAGATTTAGGAATAAATTAAACAAATAATACAAGATTGACCTAAAAAAAAAACAGATTTTGCAACCCTGATCTCCTCAGGCAGGTCTCTGAGGGTCTCGGGGCGCAGGACGGGGCATATGGTTTATACAAGGTCACAAAGATATCTTAACATACCAGCAATACCATTTAAGAATGGATTCTTAAAGCAATAATCTTCTTTTCTTCTTACACCTAGCGCACACCCTGAACAGTGGGCTTCTTGTTTACATTTTCCCCTGCACTCAGAGGCAGGACATAAAAACACACTTTTGCTATTTATTTTCATTTTGCAGCACATTTATACGATCAGAATTTTGCTTTACATCTTTATATTATTTATTTTTCTCAAGTCATTTACTTTTGGTGAGATAACTAAAGTTTAGTTCATTTTACCCTGTCTATGGACTGATTCATTATTAGTTGTTACAAAACATACACAAGACGGCGGGACAAACCAATATAGACCCCCCATACAAACAATCAGACAAACAAAACATGAACCCCTAATAAACACCAGCGTGACAGCAAAGCCCATCCAGCTCAATTTAGTCCGAATTAGGAGGTTTCAGAGGGGGTAGGGAATTATAGAAATGGAGCACCTACTTGCGCATCCACCCTTGTACAAGTGCTAAGATCGTGCCTGAAGACCGTCCAAAAGCGATAACTAGCTTATCCTCTTGCGACAACCACTACTATATTCTAGTGGCGCTATGATCCCCCGACCAGGAGAACATAGACTTTTTTTTCTCTACCCTTTCTCTCCAAAAACAGCACAGTTAACTGTAGTCCTACACGACCAGCCTATATACCCGCCATCGAGTTCATCACAACGGTGAAACACAGCTTCTGTTCCACACTTGCTTGCCACTGCCCACCTGTGATCAATTAGCCTATACTTTTTTATGTATGCACCCCGGACCGCTACCAGCTGGTCCAGCAATGTAGGCAACACTTCCAAGCAACGTAGGAAATGTTCCTCCAGCAGAGTAGAGAGCTGTGGCGCATCAGGTGATGCACGCACCTCGTGCTGCCCCAGCCTTACCAGCAATGCAGAAGACGGTCACAAACAACGAGTGCTTTTAGACCATCCCGTTTTTAATAGGGATGGCGGTGGTGTGAGTTAAAGATATAGACAGGACTGTGACTTTCTTCCTCTCAGCTGCACGGCTGCAGCCACCCAGACACGGGGGATGTTTACACACACACCCGTGGCTGCTGCTGGAGCCGTGCTCACAGAGGCGATGGGGGGAATATCTCTGGCTGCTTATTTTTAACTGCTGTTTTGGCCGCTGAAACCCCAGAATTCGGCGATTTGTTCAATACAAATCTTTACATTGCTTTCATACAGAAGCTCCACTTTACTGATGTATTTCTTTAAGGTTACTCTAAACATGAGCTGTGTATGCTTGTATGGCACTTCCGTCCCGAGCAGCACACACAGAGGAAATCATCCAGGACTGAGTCCCCAGACACTGATCTCCTGGGTTTATTATCCCCAAATGTTCATTAACCAAAAACGAAACGCAGCCGCTCAGTTTCACAGGTAATTTTAGGATACCGTCAATCACAGATTCTGGTAAGGCAATGTCCAAATGTATATTTGAAAATCACACTTACCAGCTCTGAAGATTTGTTGGTATCCTGCCGACAACGCCAAATTGTAAGGGAAACTTCTGTGTAGCAATGCAGTGGGAGTCACCGACTCAGGAAGGAGACACGGTAGGAGCAGGAGCTTTGATGTCAAAACACTGTAGGTTTATTTGGAGTTACGGCCGGAGAGTTCACATCACAAATCACAGCAGCCTCGGTGAGACTGCACGGGTGGGTTGCTACGTCAATTCTAAAGAACTCTACCTCAGATCCATGTATTTAACTAGTTCTAAGAGCATCATCAAACTGCTGCATAACAAGATAAAATCATAACACCTCTATCAGCTAACGTCAACAGGCAGGGACATAGAATCATAACACCTCTATCAGCTGACGCCAACAGGCAGGAACAGGGAGACAGAACACTGAGAGCACAGCAGCCAAGGTTACGAGGTGCGTGTGCTCAGTCAGGACAGTTTGAACTGATAAACTGGGTCAAAGTTATGGGCCTTGGAAAATATTCCACAACAATATGGTCAGATGAAACCAAAATAGAACTTTTTTGTAAAAACTCAACTAGAGTTTGGAGGAGAAAGAATGCTGAGTTGCATCCAAAGAACACTATACCTACTATGAAACATGGGGGTGGAAACATCATGCTTTGGGGCTGTTTTTCTGCAAAGGGACCAGGACGACTGAGCCGTGTAAAGGAAAGAATGAATGGGGCCATGTATCGTGAGATTTTGAGTGACAACCTCCTTCCATCAGCAAGGGCATTGAAGATGAAACGTGGCTGGGTCTTTCAGCATGACAATGATCCCAAACACACCGCCCGGGCAACAAAGGAGTGGCTTCGTAAGAAGCATTTCAAGGTCCTGGAGTGGCCTAGCCAGTCTCCAGATCTCAACCCCATAGAAAATCTTTGGAGGGAGTTGAAAGTCCGTGTTGCCCAGCGACAGCCCCAAAACATCACTGCTCTAGAGGAGATCTGCATGGAGGAATGGGCCAAAAATACCAGCAACAGTGTGTGAAAACCTTGTGAAGACTTACAGAAAACGTTTGACCTCTGTCATTGCCAACAAAGGGTATATAACAAAGTATTGAGATGAACTTTTGTTATTGACCAAATACTTATTTTCCACCATAATTTGCAAATAAATTCTTTAAAAATCAGACGGTGATTTTCTGGATTTTTTTTTCTCATTTTGTCTCTCATAGTTGAGGTATACCTAGGATGAAAATTACAGGCCTCTCTCATCTTTTTAAGTGGGAGAACTTGCACAATTGGTGGCTGACTAAATACTTTTTTGCCCCACTGTGTGTATATATATATATATATTTATAAAACAAACAAATGGTGATACATTTCAGAAAGATAAAGAGACATTCATTCATTCATAAGCAGCTTCATAATGTATGACTTATATCTGGCTGCGTCACCTCAAACATCCTATTTTTTTAAAGAAGGACAAAGCGGCGGATTTACCTTTGCTACTGAATGGGAACACAAGGACAGCTCTCGCTCCAGACTTTTTATCTTCTCGTCACGCCACATGGTTTCATGACCACATGTCTGTTTGGCCTGACACAGTCTCACCTTGTGCTTTTCCTTAATTTCATGTTTTTTACTGTAAGAAAATAGACCAAATAACAGATTTACTAATATTATATTGATTTAAATGTCATCAAAAAAAAGCCATACAACATATATTATTATCATTACTTGATATGTAATATATTATTGTACTATGAAGGGACATTGTTATATGTTGTCATTAATGTCAACGTTTTAAATGTACTATACAGGATGGAGGAAGTGTCTACTCTGTATGTATATAAACATAGTGGCTAGAATACAAAAATGACTTTAGAGATTATCATGAGATTTAGATTTGTTTTCTGCCAGGACAGCACCTACACATAGATTGGAGGCATCCACCTCCACCACAAACTGACGGCTTGGGTCAGGAACAGTTAGAATGGGGGCAGAGGTGAACATACTTTTGAGTCGAGTGAAAGCCTCCTCGGCCTGAGTAGACCACACAAACGGAACCTGAGGGGATGTAAGAGCATGAAGTGGTAGTGCAATAGCGCTGAAGTTTCTAATAAATCTTCGATAGAAGTTAGAAAACCCCCAAAACTGCTGGACCTTCTTTCTGCTGTCAGGAGTCTTCCACTGGGCTACTGCACTAATCTTAGCAGGATCCATTTGAATAAGACCCGGGGATATGATGAAACAGTAGTGGCATGGAAATCAAATTTTTCAGCCTTGACAAATAACTGATTCCTGAGGAGAAGCTGGAGAACCTGGCGTACATGATGGATGTGGGAGTCTTTGTCGGGTGAGTATATCAGAATGTCGTCGAGGTAGACAAAAACAAACCGATTCAAGCAGTCTCTTAAAACGTCATTGACAAGGGCTTGAAAAACTGCAGGAGCATTGGTGAGACCAAAAGGCATAACTAAATACTCATAATGGCCTGTTGAAACCAGTGTTCCATTCACCACCTTCGCGAATTCTGACCAGATGATATGCATTCCTAAGATCTAATTTGCTCCTGTCGCAGCGGTCGGAGAAGGACAACAAGATGCACCCCTGTGCTTTCCTCTCCAGAAAACTCTCGCCGGCTGAGCAGAACTACGATGTGGGAAACCGTGAGTTACTGGCTGTAAAAATAGCTCTGGAGGAGTGGCGACATTGATTAGAGGGGGCTCAGTTTCCATTCTTAGTATGGACGGATCATAAGAATCTGGAATACGTAAGAAAAGCTAAACGCTTGAACTCTCGTCAGGCTAGATGGACTTTATTTTTCAACCGCTTTTAAATTTTACTTTGTCTTACAGGCCGGGGTCCCAGAACATGAAGCCCGATGCCCTGTCACGTCTATTTGACCCCGAGCCTATTGCCAAAGAGCCTGAAGCCATCCTGCCACTGAACCGTGTGGTTGGAGCGGTGACTTGGCAGATAGAAACAGAGGTGAAGCAAGCTAACGGTAAGAGCCCTGCACATAGTGGTTGCCTGCAAAATCGTCTGTTTGTGCCCATTACCATGCGTTCACAGGTGATCCATTGGGCTCACACCCTGCTGCTCACTTGCCTTCCAGGGGTTAAGAGAACAATGTTTTTCATCAAGCAACGTTTTTGGTGGCCATCAATGGAGCGAGAAGTTCAGGAGTATGTGGGGGGCCCTGTCTGTGCTCGGAATAAAACATCCTCCAGGGCGCCGATGGGGCTTCTCCGGCCACTCCCTATTCCCAGCCGGCCATGGTCTGAGATCTCTGTGGACTTCGTCACGGGTTTACCGGAGTCTAAAGGTAACACCACCATACTCACGGTGGTGGACCGTTTCTCGAAGATGGTACATTTTATTGCCTTGCCCAAGCTTCCATCAGCCAAAGAGACGGCTGAAGTAATGATGACTAACGTTTTTCGTGTTCATGGTTTTCCAAAAGACATTGTTTCAGACAGAGGACCACAGTTTATATCGCGGTTCTGGAAGGAGTTCTGTAACCTGATCGGAGCCACAGTCAGCCTCTCGTCCGGATACCATCCAGAGTCCAATGGCCAAACAGAACGCCTGAACCAGGAGTTGGAGACGTGCCTTCGTTGTTTGGTTGCTCAGAACCCTTCGTCCTGGAGCAGATGCCTTACCTGGGTTGAATATGCCCGCAACTCGCTTCCCACCGCTGCTACCGGGTTAACCCCTTTCCAATGTGCCTATGGTTACCAGCCACCTGTGTTCCCGGAGACTGAGAAGGAGGTCACGGTACCCTCTGCCCACGCCCTGGTGAGGCGTTGTTGCCGCATCTGGAGTGCCGCTCGCAAAATACTTATGAGAAACTCTGAGCGAATGAAAAAGGCAGCAGATCAGAGGCGCCGACCAGCTCCCGTGTACAAGCCTGGCCAGAAGGTCTGGCACTCAACGAAGGATCTTCCTCTTCACGTCGCCTCCAGAAAACTTGCACCTAGGTTTGTAGGTCTGTTTCCTGTGCCAAAGGTTATTAATCCTGTGTCTGTCCGTTTGCGCCTTCCCAGGTCCCTGAGAGTCCACCCAACTTTTCATGTGGGAAGACTGAAACCAGCAAAAGAAAGTGTATTGGTCCCCGCAGCCAAACCTCCTCCACCCCCCCCGACTGATCGAGGGTGGTCCGGTTTATGCAGTCAAGCGTCTGTTGGCGGTACGCAAGAGAGGAAGAGGCAGACAATTCCTCGTTGACTGGGAGGGTTATGGGCCTGAAGAACGCTCATGGGTTCCATCAAGTTTTGTTGTGGGTCAGGATCTTTTTGACGATTTCTACCAACGCCATCCACAAGTGCCTGCGCCGTCAGGAGCCGTCCCTAGAAGGGGGGGTACTGTTATATCTCGTAAAATCTGTTAAGTTAATGTTTTAAGTTCAGTCTTGTATCCTGTTTTATTTTGTAGTAACCTTTCCTTCTTGTTGCAGATTACCTCACTTCCTCCCCTTGTGTGTTTTCCCTCCACTGTGATTGTCGACTCCGCCCTAATTGTCTGCACCTGTTCCCCCTTAGCCTGCCTATATATAGTTTCTGTCTCCCTTGTCTTGTTGCCAGTTCGTTTCGTTCCATGTGCCTCACTGCCAGCGTGAAGTCCATGTTATCTGCTGAGAGCTAAGAACCAAGTTTTTGGAATTTACTTTATCTTTTTTACTTTTGATACTATGTTAACCTTTTCCTCGTAAGAGTGTTTTTTGTTATCGAAACCTGTTACCTCTACGGAGAGCTCACAGTGTCACTATTTATTCAGTAAAGACTTTTATTTGTACTTTAATTGTCGAGTCGTGCTTTTGGGTTCATACTAGTGATGGCAAAATGAAGCTTTGAATGAAGCGTCGAACCACTTGGACAATTGTGTCGGAAATAGGTTCATTTCTCGAAGCTTCAGTTACAGCGACCTCTTCTGGCGAAGTGCAAGGCTGCAGTGGGTTTAACGTATCTTTGCCTTGAAAAATATTCGATGCACACACACACTAAGACTGAATATCATGTTCTATTTGCAATTAAAGATTGATAATTGTGTGTATTGGGTTATTGAGAAGAAACTAGAGAGTGCTAGACATGTTTTTGGGCGGTGAGGGCCTTTTATCAGTTATTAAAGTTGAAAAGCAATGATTAAAATACGTCCATTCCGGGCTTTGAACCAGCTGCGCGGAAAACATTGCCGCATTCGGGTCGCCGGCTCTATCCACTGGGCTATCTATTCCTTGAAATATTTAACTGTTTTTATATTACTGATAATTGTCTTTTTGTTCACAACTTCTCCACATTTCAAAGTGTTTCCCGAGCCAGAACGACCTATCTTACTTCCTGGCTTGCTCTATAATGATATCAAATGCAATAACAACAACAACTCAACAGCAACAACGCAAACTACGACAACAACCCACACATTGTGCATTGTTTAGAGCGGTCATAAAGTGTTGAAGCACTCAAGTTTGAAACTGTTTCAACCTGTCACCTGTCAGAATCGAGACGAGGCAGTGCATTGAATCGCGTGAATGGACCGTGAACCAGTCAGTTGATTCATTCAGGAAATGAAGCAGTTGCTGCTTCGGACGTCACATGTCACGTGAATTGAAGCAGTTGCTGCTTCGGACGTCATATGTCACGTGATTTGAAGCAAGCTTCGAAGCACTGCTTCTATGGAATAGGAAGTCCAGGGTTGAAGCTCCGTTCGAAGCTTCAGTGTCAAACTGCCATCACTAGTTCATACTGGTTTGCCTAGCCGTGACACCTTTACTGCGTCTTGATAATCTAGAGACTCCTGCGATCCAAATTACAGACAACAGCAGTAAAATATACAGTGCATGTTGAACGTGAAACTACAGCAGAAACAATAAAGGGAATGAATAGCTTTGTACTGTTAGTTTGTCACATGGGTAGCAAGAGTTATTTCCGTCTTTTAGTACCTGTCGACAGTCGTAGGATGAATGGGAGTTATGAAACATAACTGTTGTGTCAAATCATCATATAGTCTTTTACTCTGATTGCTGTTAAATTGTATTTTTAGTCTTGTATGTGTTTAACAGAGACATATGTTAAGGGTTTACATTTCAGGAGGGCAAAAGGAAGTGTAAAAGGACAAGGGGGTTTTATGGTTTAATGGTGGGGATGTTTAGATGATGCCTAAGGGAATGTAAGGGTGGGACCAGTTGGCTATTCTCTCTACTATATAGTGTGACTGTAAGCTGTGTTCTGGGTGCAAAGCCATATTATCCTCTGAGGATGAAGTGGCTCTGTTCCTACATTTGGGATCGATTTCACTTTTATATTGACTTTCTTTATTACTTTATTATATACAATAAAAGACAAACTGTGTCCATTTATCACTTTCTCTTAAGAATTTCCTCCACAATAACCACACATGCAGTTGACCTGATTAATTACACATTTTCCGGTAATTCAAATATAGAATAAATTACCTTAAGCAGTGTGTTTTCCTTATTCTGCAGCTGTTGTTGTGTCTGTAGTTCTTTATCATCTTTCACCTGGCAGTCAGTGTTTTCAGAGTGCTGGGAATCTGCCTCTTTTGGCTTACCCAGTCTTCAAACAAACACAGAAACTTTCACTTATCTAGATGTTACTGCAACAATGAGAATTTGCATGCACATACAGCACAGTATGTATATATATATATATCTGCTGGATGGTGTGTGGAGTTAGAGTTCCCTACTTTTGCTCCTGAAGATGGTTTTCTTTGGTGCAGACGGTAGCAGTAAGGTTATCCAGTTCATTTTTAGATGTTTCCAGCTGCTGTTTGAGGGAAAGTATCTGAAAAGATAAAAGAACAATTTTGACATTATATAATAGGAAACAAGCTATATTGTACCGTTACTGTGTACTCAATATCTCTTGTAAAAAATAATCTGTTTCTGAGTTATAATCATAATTTATATCACTCACTTCTGACTCCTCCAAAAGGCATTTTGACTGGGTGCTGAGCTTATCTTGTAAATCTCTGCAGAACTCTTTGCTCTGATTTAATTTAGTTTCCTGGGACTGGAACCAGAACAAGATCAACATTCAGACATGTATCAACTCCAAAATTCATTTAATGAGTTATGTTTGGTAATACCAACATGTTTGACAATGTGTTGCAACTGCAGTTGTTTCACTTCCCTCTGCAGAAGCACCACCTGGGAAAAACCACAGATCAATGTAGCTACCAAAAGTCTGTCTCATCACAGCCTCTACATTCAGAATGCAATTCACAAGTTTAGCAAATGGGGATTTCTACATTTCAAAATGATACAGACACCTAGGCTTCCAACAGGTAATATTTTGTAATGTCATCATAATCCATGTCTTGCTAACTTTACTACAGTTTCTCAATGTTTGCACACACATTGTTATACAAATGAGTAAACTAATTACTTTGCATTATTTAAAGTGTAGGACACTCAAGCATTTTACATTCCAAACAAAAGATCTGAAGCTGTTAAATACTGAATTACAGTTACTCAGAGTTAGAGACTGACTGTTTCGGTGTCCGATGTAAAGGCCGGGGTTCTGTACAGTGAGACTTACTTTAGCTAACTCATCACTCTGGTTGACTTTCCCCTGCTGCTGCTGCTGCTCCTCCTCGCTCTGCAGAGATACCACCTGAGACACACAGATATACAGGCTGCCTTACATTTTTTAAGACCTATTTATTTACTGATTATTTCTTGTAAATTGATCATTCAGCTTTGCAGTTCATTTATTTATTACATCAATGCACTGTTGAGGAACCTGCGATCTAAGTTTTTCATACATTACATACACCATAGTATGTATATGTTATGACAATAAACCTTTGAACCTTGAATAAATGTGTCATATCTTTATCTATACCAGTGGCACACATTAGTTCGACACTTAAAACAAAAACTATTAAAAAAAACACAGAAAAATGAATGTCTCAGACCGGATATGTGGTTTGTAGAAAGTGTTCCATCTGCTGGTTTGAGTAAACAGGATGTGGTGTATTGGTTGGTCTAAATCAATCCGGACCGAACCCTGTGTCCCATTATACAAAAAAAAAAAAGAATTCTGATTGAAATTAAAGTGGACCTATTATGATATATTGGAAAAATATATTGTAGGGCCATACCTATACAACACATGTCTGTGAAGTTTTTTGCTTAACATACAGTTCACCCATAGTGGCCATGCCTCATACTGCTCATACCCCTCTTTTGCAGCCCTGTTAGAGAAATGCGGATTTTGGGTCCAACTGCCCTTGGATGATGGGTTAGGACAGTGGTTCTCAAAGTTTTCAATAATGTACCCCCTTTGAAAAAAAAATTCAGCCAAGTACCCCCTGATCAGCGCAAAAACAATTTGTTTGTATGTCGTTCAGTATGCGTTTACAGGTGAATACGTCTGCATTTCCTGCCAAATTCTAGCCTAAAAAAGATTAAAATATAATTAATGCAAATAAACTACTTCTACTAATAACAATACTCATAATCATAATCAATTCAATAATATAAATAATATATTATAATATAGTTGTAATATAGGCAAGACAAAACAAGCTTATTACATGCTCAAAAACTGATATTTCTTAAATCTGTATCCAAATGTAGTTCCCTCTGTCAGCACTCAGCAATGTATCAACAACTACACACACATTTCTATCAGTGTTTCTCTGTGTTGTGGTTGACATGATGATGACTGTTAGGAGTTAAGGGGAGAGGCTGAGCATCACCATGAAATGTGCAAATTGACATAAAAATTAATAAAAGGGGAAAAAATGCTCCATGTTTTTTAGGCTGTAAACTTTAACTGTTATGTAAGCCAACTAGACAGACAGTTTATCACTCTTCCTCCTGTACATTAGCAGATAAAAGGCATACAATATGATCAGATCATGCATCTGCTGATGTAAAGGACTGTAGTACATAAACAATAGGATGCGGGTGGTGTCATATAACACGCGTGGCCTACGTGTGGGGCACAGTGCTGGTGATAAAGCGAGGCGGCTGGTTGTTGATAAACTGTTGGAGGAATGTGATATTCTGTGCTTACAAGGAGACATGGTTACCCAAGCAAGATCTGGAAAGGCTGAATACACTACATGCTAATTTTCATGGAGTTGGAGTCAACTACTGATCTCTGTGATAAAATTGCCCATGGCAGGTAACCTGGTGGTGTGGCGATTCTCTGGAACAGTAAATATGATCCTTTAGTTACAGTGGTAAGATTGGACGTCAACTGGGCCATTGGTATAGAGATCAAGTATGAAAATAGGTCATTTATTATCGTAAATATTTACACACCTTATGAATCATATGAAAATGAATATCGCAATAGAATGGCATTTGTTAACGCATTCATTAAGGATAATGCCACAACCTGTGTGTTAGAACGGGGTACAAAAATACTGGACTCAAATGCGACGGCTCAGATTTTAATTAAAAAATAAAACAACGTTTTAACAAAAAATCACTCATGCGAAGACAAAACAAAACTTCTCGATTTCAAACAAACAAAACTCTCCTCTCTGGTTTTAACGCTGGGTCTCTGGACATGGAAGCACACTGAAACAAGACAACTGGCACAAGACAAAGGGAGACAAGGACTATTTATACATGAGGGAATAGGGACCAGGTGGAAACAATCAGGGGCGGGACAGACGCTGACGATGACGGAAAATCACCCAAAGTGAGGAATTAACAGGACCTGAAAGGAAAGACCAGAGGTAAGTACAAAATAAAACAGGAAATGGGAAAACGAGACATGACATGAAATAGGCAGACAAGACATGAAGTAACAAGAAAACCTGACTCTACATAGAAACCTGACTAGACTTGGAATTACATACCTGACTAAACATGAAGTGACAACAAACACGACTAACACATTGACGAGACACAGCGATTGGAATCATACATAAATCACATTTACAAAAACAGATCAGTGGAGACATTTTATTATTACTATTTCGTTTTTCTTTAGTTGTTTTTCCGTTCCATTGGAGTATGACAGGTGAGGCTCTGCCTCCCCTGCCTCCCCTGACTGCACGTCGCTGCTGTATATGCACAGCTGATGCACACGCTTCTCTGGACAACATTGACATTTGTTATGAGTTGGCCACTACAGATCATATTCCATTTATTATCGTAAATATTTACACACCTTATGAATCATATGAAAATGAAGATGAATATCGCAATAGAATGGCATTTGTTAACGCATTCATTAAGGATAATGCCACAACCTGTGTGTATGTAGTGGGGGACTTGAATGCTGACATTTCGGATGATAAATCTCTGTTTGGCAAATGTTTACTGCATTTTTGTAATGATAATAATCTCATACTGTCAAGTAAATCTCTTCTACCTGAGAAAAGCTTTACATAGTGAAGCATGGCATACTATGTCATGGCTAGATCACTGTATATGCACAGCTGATGCACACGCTTCTCTGGACAACATTGACATTTGTTATGAGTTGGCCACTACAGATCATATTCCTTTTGTATTGACCCTAAATGGTGAAAATATTCCGGTGCTATCTGTTGATGACAATAAAACGTACACAGGGAGCCTGGATTGGTCAAATTTAAGTGACAAGGATATTAATCACTATACCTCACTCACTGACAAATCATTAGACTTGGTTGTAATTCCTAGAGAAGCAATGCTGTGCAGTGACATCAACTGTAAAAATGTGCAGCATGGTAGTGATCTATGTTTTACATATGATCTTATTATTGATGTGTTAAAGGGCCCATTGTATGCTTTTCCGGTTATTACCCGTCTCCTTGTGAAGGTCAGCCAAAAGAGTGTCTGATTTAACCGCTTTATCGGTGCACCCGAGTTGTTTAATGATCCGGGGTGACCAGAGCGGAGCGACACTCAGACCGAAACCCTCCTTTGTGCCCAAGAGCCTAAGGAGTGCGTTCAGGTCGAGGGCTATTCGGTTGGGGGGTTTTAATCTCCCCCCCCCATAGTGGGGCGAGGGAGGCTAAATTACACCTCCTCTGCCCGGTGCGTGCGCTGGCATATTATGTGGAGCGCACGGCTGCCCTTAGACACACGGAACAGCTGTTTGTGTGCTTCGGGGGTGGGGTAACTGGAAAAGCTCTGTCCATATGCACAGCGGCATCTTGGTCAACGCCAGGCCCCGTCATAAAGTTTTATCTCTTGGACATGTCTGGCTCCTTTTCATCGTCTGTGCTTGCTGGGGCAACGCAGGACTGGTGAGGAGGGAGGGGGCTGTGGGTCAGTGGGCATCTGACCCCCTCCCCGGATGTAATGCGCTTACACTTTTCCCCGGGCCCCCAGCCCCAGGGGACGTGACGTGCACATGGTTTATATAATACATAACATATTATTATCATTCTAGTAAAAGGGCTCGCTTTGGCAAAAACCTGATCCATACAGGCATTGCAACCGTAAATAATAACAAGTAGCTAACCATCATGTGTGGTGCTATATGTAGATGTCCGTCTTATTTTTTGCCGATTTCATATTGTTTTCACAGTGCTGTGAAAATGAATTTCCCCCTGGGTACAATAAATCTAATCTAAACTAATTTAATATTCAATCCCGTACTTGGCGATTGAGAACATACATTCGTAATTGACCTTGTTTAAAGCACATTTGTTGTAATACTATGGATTTAGTTGACACTACTAGCCGACTTTCTTTTGTCCAAGTACATTCAATTAGAAGAAGAAGAAGTAGAGGTAGAAGAAGAAGAAGTAGAGGTAGAAGAAGGAGAAGTAGAGGTCTTAGAAGAAGAAGTAGAGGTCGAAGAAGAAGAAGTAGAGGTATTAGAAGAAGAAGTAGAGGTAGAAGAAGAAGAAGTAGAGGTAGAAGAAGAAGAAGTAGTAGAAGAATAAATACGTTAACGCTACAAACAGGCATAACACTGTTACTCTGTTTTTACTGACATGTAACATTTTATTTCACCTTGCTCTATGTTTGTTTAACGCATATTCAAAAATGGGAACATTTTCGGGAGTTTCAACCGGGTACTGGCCACCGAAAAAGGGGACTTTGCCCGGAAAACGGGACTTTGCCCGGAAAATGGGGACGTTTTGGTCACCCATCCGACTGTGTTTACAGCTAAGCACACACGCTAACATTAATTAAGACTACAAGCTCACTTGGGGTTGAGGCTTTTTTACACGTTGCTTGACTGCCTGCTCTAGACATAGTAACGTGTGTTGGGGAAAATAATTATTTAAAGTTATTTAATAATTGTGACATTTATTTTCCTTTCGATGGATGAATGATGCTCAAAGTGAGGGGGCAAATAAGACAACTGAGGGGGCAATGCCCCCTCGTGGCGCCGGGCCCATCATCACACGGCAGGCAGCGGCGGCCACACCGTAGATCAAGCTACTAATTCGGCCTTGCGGCCCAATAATCGCTCTGACCTGGTGAGGCGGGGGCATCTCTAGCAATGAGCGAGTAGCCCACACACCCGCCGCCATGATCATCACCCAGGGAGAGTACAGCCCTGGGCGTGGACTTCCATGAACGTCGGACCCGGAAGTGCCCGACAACGGCAACGGAGCCATCCGCCCCACTGGAATGGCAAACGTGAATGGCACCGCCTCGGCCATATCCTGGTCCCCCAAACACTCGAAGCAGAGGTGGTGGGGATCGGCGCCCACTATTTAAGCCAGGGCACGAAGGACAGGCCCGGGTCTCTAGAGGTGGCGACTCCCTGGAGGTATGATAACTCTTTCTTCTTCTGTCAAACATCTTATCTCTGCTTCAGTTGTTGCCCGCTCGCTGAAGAGAAAGGGATGACGGTCAGGAGACGAGGCCTCCTTTTATACGGTGAGATGCGCGTGCATTCAGGTAGGCCCGCCCCAAGGCTGGCTACGTCTTAGAAATCTCAGTAGGTGAATGCTTGCATAGAGGGTAGTACCCATAGAGTCCAGTAGATGGCAGAGCCTGTGAGAGATATAACCATTACAGCAGTGTCAAAATAACATGGCTGCATCTCTATGGTATGTGTGCTCACACATGTGCACTTGTGTTTATGTATGCTATGCGGGTGTGGACATGCTTGCATTTGCATGTATGAGTGTGTGTGTGTGTATCTGTGAGAGAGTGTATGTGTCTGAGAGTGTGTACTCAGTGGGCCCGGGGTCTCTGAGTGTGGGCCTGAACCAGCCATCTCCAGTTTTATTTGCACAGGACATGCCTCAGGAAGCTGTTACCTAAGCATGCATACAAAAGTACTAAAGATAAAAAAAGAAATTATAATAAAAAAGTTACACATTTTACAAAATACACATCCTGTAAAAGTTCTGAGGATTTAGCAGCCAGGTATAAATTGCATGTATTGCACATATTGATCATAGTATTTAACAACAAGAGGTGTTATAGTGTTATATTTCCTCTGTTAAAGGCTGGGTGATTGTGAGTATTCTAACATGTTGCACACTTTATAAACTTTTATACATGTTTTATTTTTATTTTAGGCTCTTTTTTAAAAATGATTTAACAAAAACACCGTGTGGAGTGTGCACATTCCCCCCCTTGTTTGTGTGGGTTTCCCCCACAACCTAAAGATCTTGGCCTAGATCCATAAAACTTTAGTTTAGTAAAATAGAAACTATAAATGGTGCTTTCCCCTTATTCAGTTCATGCTAGACTAATCTCCATCCTGTGTGAGCTTTATACAAAAAGAATAACTCTGAGCTGTGTGGGGACTTTAGAAAAGGTCCTGTCTCCATTTTACACCCAACATGAGCTTAATCACATATGTAAATGACCTGGAAACACTTTCAAATATATGTATATATTGCACATTATAATAAAATAAAAAATAACAATTCTCACCATATTTCTTCAGTTTCTGTACTTCCTGTCTGAGTTGCTCTTTCTCCTGCTGGGCTGCCTGCAGCTCAGGCTCTAAAAAGCACAGACGATAGGATAAACACAAATCTCCTGACTGTAGAAGTAGGTAGTAACTGTTTTTCAGTTCAGTCTATGCAGATATTGTATGATGGTAAAATCACATGTTATATGCAATATTTAGAGGAGTAACATGAACAATTGAGATGATTGTTCTCTACTTGATTTGATTTTTGATTTGATTAATTTAGAATGTGCAATAATACAAAGAAATAATAATAATAATGAAATGAAACATGAGAATTATTATACTATACATACTTAAGCAGTGTCAAATTGATAAACAAAAATATTACTGATTTACAAATTATATAAACAAATGAACTACCTATTTACACATCCGAAAAGGGGTGAGAAGAAGTTTACACTTACGTAATCCCACCCCTTCTCCTAAAAAAACAAACAAAGCAAAAACATAAAAACAACAAATAAACAAACAAATAAATAAACAAACAAGTTGATGAAAGAGGTAAATGGTAATCAAGAAAATATAAAATAACAAACCAAATAAATAAATATTTCAGCTTTCAACCTTGTTTTAATGATAAATAAAAAATGTAGGAACTGTTACTGTGTTACCATAAAACAATATCTCTTTAAAAATCACATAGTCTGCTTGCAAGTGGCTGATTAATCTCAAGTCAAGTCAACTTTATTGTCAATCTTCCAGTTTGTGTGTACAGAGAGATTGAAATACCATTTCCCACAATCCCGAATATAAAAACAAATGTATATAACATTTAAAAATATATGTGCAAATATGTATACATACACAGTCTATGACACATTTTTACATGTGCACACATTATGACCTACATAAAAACACAACAATCAATATATACAGAATAACAGTCACTTCAATATTTTGAGAATGTACATTAGTGCAAGATTGTCCATAGAATGTGCAAAAATAAATATTAGTCACTCACCATAAGCTCTTTGGGTCAAATGAGAAGACTCCAGCTCATCAGTCAAGTGTCGGATCTCATTGTGGGCCATGGCCAGACGGCGGGACCCTTCCTCCAGGTCCCGCTCCAGATGGGAACACTCCCTCTCCAAACTGCCTGCCAAATGTCTGGCCTCAGCCTAAAGAAAGAGTGAGGGATGGCAACTTATTTAAATGACCAAGAGTTAAGTGATTGCTGGACAATGACGAGAACCGACAAACTAAAACAAGAATGTTCATACAGGCATGCAAGAACAGACACGAGACCTTAAGAAGTGCACCGGATCAAGATGCATCAGTGGTGTGGGATCTTGCATTTCTTCTGCCATGCAAAGTGCCCTAGTTTGAGCTGGAAACAGAGCTTAACAACGCTGGAAGAAAAAAAAAGGTTGCAGATAAAGTTGATGCTGTTTAACAGAAAACATGCAAAATACTCATACGCTAGCATGCATCTTGGGAGAACAAAATTAAGTCAGTTTGGCTGATGTTCCCTGATTTTTCAACTGACCCGAGTGCATTTTTAGTGTTGGTTAGTACTGTATGGAAAGCAGAAATATTACTCTAGATAAAAGGACCTACAGGAATAAAAGTATGTTTGCTCTGAGCAGCTTTGTGGAGTCCAAATAGTCTCTTCCATGGGCTCTGGCTGTGATGAGATGCCCCCTTGTGGAAAGACCAGAGCAGAGAAACATAGACTAAGTCCTATGCCCAAGTACCAGATATAGATGTATGGTTTGTAGAACGTTTTCCATCTGCTGGTTTGAGTAAACAGGAAAACCGTGTGGTCAACCACAGTATTGGTTGACCTGTGTGTCGACATCATATACATCGAACACACTGTAAAGCTTATCTGTCCATTGCTTTGTTAAGAACTGAGTGTACAATTGAAAATATCATCTAACCTGGTGTTCAGTGGCTGGGTTTCGGTCCCCAGTGGGCTGGGTATGTTTCCATTACCCATCAGATTGCTTGGACCCTGGCTCGTCTCCAGTAAGGAGGCTCTCTCCACCAGGAGGTAGGCCACCTGCTCACTGGGGCTGCTGTGAATCAACTCTGTGAGACCCTGCTGGTACAGCATTTTAGCCACCTCGCTAATCTGGGAATCTATCACAACAGAGAATGGTGACAGTGTAATATTTCTAAGGTATTAAGTTATTTCATTGTCATTTTCACAAACTGCAGTTGTTGTCCCTTGTTGCTAAACATGAGAAAATAATACATGAGTTTGAGTTTATGAGTCTCACAGCCTGAGGAAAGAAGCTGCTCTGTAGTCTGCTCTCCAGTCCTTTGTTAGTATGTAAGTGCTTAGTTAGTATATAAGTGCTTTTTATTTTATTTAGTTTTTTGTTTTCTGATTTTCATTTTATTGCTCGAAGTGGAGTTGAAAGAGATGAGTTTTCAGTCTGCGCCGGAAGATGTGTAAGCTTTCTGCTGTCCTGATGTCAATGGACTTGCTAGTTTGCAATGTTTCTCAATCCTGTTTTACCCCTATGTTCCTCCCTTGTGCCACATGCTCACTTCCCTAGGTATTGCTATACCCAATCAGTCCGACTAGACGAGTCTTTCACCTGTCCCAGTCACCTGACTCTCATTCACTCTTGCTCACCCGTTTCTACTTTGCCTCATCAGCCCTTTATATATCTGTCCGGTTTGCTTTCATTCTCCTGCAGATTGTTTATTTTGAGTCATGCTGTTGCCTTCCAGACCCTGAACCCTGCAAGTATTCTGTTACCTGGAAACTGACTCTGAATATGTGCCTTTCTGCCTGCACTATTTATCCCCTGCCCAATTTCTGTACCTTTGGGCTCTCTTTTTCTTTTGACTGGACATTATAGGCCTATGTCAGTACATAGGCCTACTTTCACTTTATCAAAAAATCCCTGATATCTTCCTCTCTATCTGAATTTGGGTCCTTTTTCTTGTTGCCTCATCGTCTCCCACCATGTTAGCCTGTCACGACAAATATATATTTTTAAGTATATATTTTCCCAGAAATATTAGCTTTTTATGGGACCACCTTGGACTGTCTCCCAAACAGTCAAACAACAAAGACAACAAAGCTGATGACACAGTCCAGAACCTGAAGATTGACATCTCAACCATTGCCAAACAAGATAGGTAAGTTAACATGGCTTGTGTTACTGAAAAAACGTGTAAATTATATTGTAAAGACATAAGTAGAAAGCCTTCACATTTTTTATACCTGCAGTCCTGCACTGCAGTATAATTTAAGAATTTGAACGATTAGCCTTTTGGAAAATACCATACAACAAATTAGAAATACTATTTCATAGTGCAGATTGAAGGTTTGGAAGTTTGAATGTGGTCACTTACACTTTTATAATTTTAATATGTTTATTTATAGGTAAAACTGTCAAACCTTGAAGGGATACTAGGCGTTACATCTGGTCCTTGAGGAGATCGTTTTCATCTTATCTCATGCGCCAAAACATCTTTGTGATCTGTAAAGAATCGGATCTGCTCCAAGGACTTGCGTACCTTACAAATGGACCGAAGCCGATGCAAAAATTCACTAAATCTTGCTCTTATTGGCAGTTTCTGATGTCACTAGTAAAGCAACAGTGATTACATACCTCTGCCATCTCTGCTAAGTGCTGTGAGCGCTGCGTGTCCAGGTCCCATGTCACCAGTTGCGGCGCCAGATATTTTCTCTAGGGGGTGCTGTGGGGTAGCTTGACGTTTCATAGAGGGTGCTCACACATTTAGGGTTTCCCATTCATGCACCAGCGCTACAGTTGAATTTTCTACTGCAACACTCCCCACGCACACACACACAGTGCACCCGCGACTGTTACAATGAAGGCTCGATAATCAGCTCACGGCATATAGGCAGGGGTAAAGTGCTATTTTTACAAGTGGGGAGCGGACCTCACCTCCTCTAGGAGGGTCCTCACCTCCTCTAGGGGGGTCCGGGGGCTAGCTCCCCCGGGAAGATTTGTTGTTACATATTTAAGTTAAAAGCATCAATCTGGTGCACTTTGAGAGCAACATTAAGAGATCTATGGATACATCTCTCAACACCCATACGAAACAGAACTGTCAACAGATTTTCTATTTCTTTATAGATATTTTACAAATTCACTCCCCTTTTAAAACAAACCGTTGAGACCCACTGAGATAACTAGACTAAAGTTAACTATCTAAACATTGAGAGTCCTTTACTTCACCTGAGTTGAGGTTACCTGAGACTCTCCGTCTGACAGGAGAGAGTTCTCCCTCCACCTTGTTGTTGAAAAAGCTCCTTATATCCATTAGCTTGGCTAGCTAGCACCAGATGCTAACCACAACGATCTCCGGTAGATACCCACTGGTGCGCGAGGCGAGCTCTCTCGCTCGCTCGCGCACGCACGCACACAAAATGGCTCGTGCCACACACACACACACACACACACACACACACACACACACACACACACACACACACAGAGCAGGGCTTGAATGAAACACAGAGACCCAGAAGTAAGCTACTTGTACTCACGAGGCCTATTATGTGCAGAATCCCTCTCGCTTTCAGGTGGTTTTGATTGAGTGTCCACACGTGGTCGTTTAAGGACTAAAAAACGATCAATTTTTCACTTTGCTGTTAGCAAATCATTTGGCGCAGCTAACAGGAAGTCAATCAAGTGTCACAAAGTAATTTAGCCTATGGGTAGGTCAAAAATCCAATGGGTGCTGACCATTGGCCTAATCATATCACCTGTGTTGGCTTTATGTTTTTGGTCAAAAATGTGTTTGTTTAACATATGCATTGATGTAATCAATAATATTTCTAATTTAATAAAAATAATAATAATAATTTTCGAAAAAAAAACAAAAAACACATATTTCTTGGGGGTGCTTAGGGGGTGCTTTGGAAATCCTGGGGGGTGCTTCAGCACCCCCTAGCTCCCCCCTGGCGCCGCCCCTGCATGTCACACTGTTCAGATGGCTTCTGGTGCGCTGGAGGGCACTCCACAGCAAACACAGCGGAGCCTACTTTGAGGAGTCAGGAGCGAGTCCTCCTGTAACCATGTGGCGATCTGCTCCATTTCCTCCTAGAGATGGTTGACATGTAAATATGGTTACAGACAAACCACCTTGTGTCACACTAAGAAAAAGGCTCTACTTGTAATGAACATTGTAATATTGACTGCCATGTTCTTTTGATGTTTTGAACTGTTATTTTTCTTGGAAAAGTTGTACAGTATACATATCATTCATAAGTGGGAGTGTTAAGTGTAAGTATTAATATGTCTGCATGTAACTGCACTATAACTGTTCCACAGTAACAGGGCGCTATAGGCGTAAGGAAGCGCAGCTATTGTAGCTGACGTCAGGTATCAGATATAAGGGATTGTTCCCTCCCCTTCTACCTCTCTAGCTCTCATGGAGAGCAGGTCAAGTGGGGCAATGCACATATGAAAATAAACCACGCCAGTTAAGGCTAAAGAAGATCTCGTCGTCATGACCAGTTTATTGCTATACATGTGACTCTGTCAACAGGTTATGGGCCCAGATCACGGAAGAGCGAAATAACGATAGCTAGTTAGCTGAAAAGTTTAGGCTAGTTTAGCGGCGGGAAAACCGCGGGACGTTAAAGCTAAGCTAACGGGCAGCTAAGCTAAGCTACAATCAAAAGATGGCGACCAGAGGCAGAGAAGCAAGTGGCCCACGTTGACGGAAGGGCAGAAGAATACGAGCTCTGGGAAGAGCGGATCTTGTGCTGTATGCACGGAGTGGGGCTGAAAAAGAAAATTTTGACGGGCCTCACAGGAGAAATAACGGAGGCCGCGCGAGCCCTGGATACTAAGCTGAACGCCGACGCATACTGCGAACTAGCACCACTCCTAGACAACACAAGCTTGGGGCTGATATTCCGGGACACAAAGGCCGAGAGAGTCTAAAAGTGTTAAGAGAACACTACATCGGCAGAGGTAGGCCCCGGATTGTATCCCTGTATATAACATTGACCGCGCTGAAGAAAGCTAACACAGAGACTGTGACTGAATACGTCATCAGGGTGGAACAGATCATCACGGTGCTCAAAAGTGCAGGAGAAGCACAGAGCGATGGACTAATGATGGCGATGGTTATGAGGGGACTACCGGAGATGTATAAACCACTGTTGGTGACGCACGGTTCAGCGGACATGTCGCTGGGGGAGTTCAAGGCCAAGTTGCGGAACTTCGAGGCCTCAGAAGACTCAGACCCGGTCGCCGAGGAGGCGGGAGAAAGGGTAATGAAGGCCCGGGCAGCGCCAAAGAAAAAGACCGGACCCCCGACGGAGATGGCGTGTTGGCGATGTGGAGAAAAGGGTCACCGAAAGGATAATTGCACAAAAACTGTTTGGTGTAGTTTCTGTAAAACTTCGAGACACGCAGACAGTGTGTAGAAAGAAGCGCGAACAGAGCGCTCGGTACGCGCGCGTGCAAGATGGCGGCTGTGGACAAGATGGCGGCAGCGGTGGACGTGAGGCGAGTCGAGACGATGCCTGGAGAGCAGCGGGAAGAGAGGACTTCACCTTCGGGGCGCAGACAGCATACGCTAGCCGGTCAGCGCAGCAGCAGCAGGCCCAAAGGAAGGGACTGATCGTGGACACAGGTGCGTCACATTATCAACGACAGGAACCGATTCAAGAACTTTGACAGCACCTTCGAGCCGGAGAGACACAGCATGGAGCTGGCAGACGGGAAGCGCACTTTCGGGTTGGCGCACGGGAGAGGAGACGCACAGGTATGCCTCATAGACAGTGAGGGGCGCCGGTGTACAGTGACGTTGAAGAACGCCCTCTACATACCCTCGTTCCCCCAAGAACTATTTTCTGTAAAATCTGCTACTGCAAATGGTGCCAAGGTGTTCTTCAATGAAGGTAACGATGTTCTTGTGGAGCCTGACGGTACGAGATGTAACATTGAGGTGTACAAGATAATGTATTATCTACAAACAGAATGTAATGAAAATTATGTGTGTAATGTCAGTCATGATATTCAGACATGGCATGAGATCATGGGTCATTGTAATTACGAGAATATACTGAAGCTGCAGGCGGTAACAGTAGGCATGCACATTAACGGTGAAAAGCATAGACCTAACAAAGAATGTGATGTGTGTATAAAGGGAAAGTTCACTCAAACAAGGAACAGAGGTCCCACAGAAAAAGTAAACACACCACTTGAGCTAGTTAACACAGATCTAGCCGGTCCAGTAAATAATGAGTCCATAGTAGGGTTGCCAGAAACTGACCATGATCAAAATCGATTATTCGGCAGCCCTGGCGAATAATAATCAATTATTCGACCGACCCCTGTAGGGCTGTAGCCTGTATTATTAATAATAGCAGCATTGCAATAAATAAATTGTGCGCGCATCGCGCATCTTCAAATGGATGCACTCAAAACGCATTGTTGAGCTGTGATAGACCAACGTCTTTTCGCAGAGCTTGCATTTAACTTCCTTTGGACATGTAAGTTCGAAGTAGTTCCACGAGGAGGAACTCTTTTTACCTGCCGCTTTGTTCATTTTACGTGTTGGGGGGTGGGGGCGGGGGCGGTGTGTAGCGTGCTGCAGCAGCAGTCTGCTCTGCACGCAGGCTTCCTCCAAGTTTACAGTAAAACAAACTGGTGGTGTGACCAATGGCCATTTACAATTATTAATACTATTACTATTATTAGCATTAGTCTATATTTTGGTTGAAACTAAGCCAGAAAAAAAAAAAAAAACATAAATAATAATAAAAAAATATATAAATAAAATCGATTTTTAAAAATAATATTCGATTATGGAGACTGTAACGAATAATCGAATAATCACTGGCATCCCTAGTCCATAGGTTGCTTTAAATATATGCAGTCTTTCACAGTGTATACAGGGGCAGTGTTTGTTTACTTTCTCAAAGCAAAGAGTGATGCACTTCAGGCCACAGAGGGATTCCTTGCAGATGTAGCTCCGTATGGCAGCGTAAAATGCCTGAGGTCCGTCAACGGAACAGAGTTTACAAATAGAGAGTTTCAGTCACTGCTGAGAAGGAGCAAGATCAGACACGAGACGTCCTGTCCTTACTCCCCGCACCAGAACGGGATAGCTAAGAGGTAAGGGCGCACTCTTTTCGAAATGGCTAGGTGTAAGCTAATAGACGGTAACTTACCTAAGAGTCTATGGCATTATGCGGTCCAAGAAGCAGCTTACACCAGAAATCGGTGTTTTAACAAGCACACGGGCACCACCCCATATATACTGGCACTGACAGGAAAAAGGTGTGATCTAGCCAGGATGCACAAGTTTGGGTCAGTGTGTTATGCTTACCAACAGGACAGAGGAAAACTCGAGTCCAGGTGTGAGAAAGGACTTTTTGTAGGACATGACAAGGGCAGCCCCGCTTTTCTAGTCTATTATCCCGGTAAGGGGAAAGTGCAAAAGCACAGGTTAGTAAAGTTTGTCACAAAGACAACATGTGAGAACGAGACACAGACACAGGAGCCAGAGCTGGACTCCAGAATAGGGTGTGAGAAAAGAGACGCCACAGCCTAGTGTACTGAGCACAGACATGCAGACAGATGGTCAACAGCCACCGGAGGATGATGGCGAGAAGCACCCTAGGGTGACG